CAATTTTATTCTACATATATTCATATATTTTACAAATTATTCTCTTTGAAATAATGCATTTCACTTTTTTTTTTTTTTTTTAATCCCAGTACAACAACTTCATTTTAGAATTTTACTTGGAGATAATATTTTATCCTAATTTTTAAAAACATCCCTTTTGCAAGCGAGCAAGCGAACGAGCAAGCAAGGAAACAAGCAAGCAAGCAAGCAAGCAAACATATCCACCAAATTTCAAAGCCCACCAAAATGATACTATCCTGATTCCTGTTTGTCTGTCCTGTGCAACAAGCAAACAAAACAGAACAAAATAACAACAAACAAACAAAGAAAAAAAGGGATAAATATATTCAAAGTGCTTAGAGAACTTTGGTAAAAAAAAAAATATAATCTCGCGTTTCGTGTTAGAGTCATCGAATAAGGTAATATGTCGAATAGGGTTAGGAGAGGGTGGAAAGGGTTCGGATCTTAGCAGATTGCTCGGTACTGATTTAAAGATAAATGTAAGCAACAGGAACCCATGAAAACGTTGAGATGAAGCAACGCCGAAATTCCATGGTAAGGGGTCTTCGAAGAACGTGGCAGCCCTTTTATGGGTGTCCTGGGTCTGTTACTCCCTAAAGGGCATACGCCTACGCACTTTTACTAGGAAACCATGAAGAAAGGATTGGTTAGACTTTAACACAAGCCCTTCCAAGATTCTTCGAAAGAAACTTCGAATACAAAAGATGATTTATCATAGAAACGATTTATCATAATTGAATCGTTAAATCATAAAAATGATTCAAGAGTATAAAACTTCTTTCTTTTTCTTTTTTTCTTTTTTCTTTTTCTTTTTCTTTTCTTAGAATCAGCTTATTGCCCTAATTCTTATGATGGTTAAATTTAATATTATACAAATACATATATATATTTATAATATGTGTATGTATATTATTGCAAAATACGCGCAATGGATTAATTTTGTTTTTTATTATGTTTTTTTTTTCTTTTTTCAATTTTTTTCTTTTTACTTAAGCCACACAAATATACGTAATCATAACTGGCTTATGTTAACGAAAAATTTACAATTTCTAAAATATTCCAGACCTTTTGAAAATATTCCATCGATTATCAATACCAAAAGAATAATTTTACTGATGATAAATTTCTCTCTCTCTCTCTCTTTCTCTCACTCTGATTAATATTATAAATTAATAAAATACAATTAATGCTTTTTAGTAACGAAAAAAAGAAAAAAAAAATGGATGAACATTATCTAAAGAAAAATAATCAACATAATGTATAAATAAATAACAAGCAAAAGTTGATTAAGCCGGACATTGTTTGAAGAAAAATATATCAGCTAATCATAATTGTATTCCTTATTTAATTATGTAAGAGTATAAATAAATAATTATCATAAAACGTTCTTTGGAATCATCTCTGACGCATCGTTTATGTTCCGATTAAATCGAGTTATATTGTACCCAATTATCGAAGTATAATATTTATTTACTGTGTCAGAGTTCGGCCTGGTTAAGTATAATTTTTTTTCTTCTTCTGTTTTGTTTTGTTTTTATTTACTTATCTTCCTTTTCTTCTTTGTTTTTCTTCTTTTTCCTTTTATTTTTTTTTTTTTTTTTTTTTTTTTTTTCTTTACATTATCATTTTGTACCAAACAAATATTATTTACCAACGAATAATCATACCAAATTCCCTTTGTCCGTCAATCTTTAATGTCCATTTAAATGATCTCAACGTATCTGGGTATATTGGTATATATATATATGTGATACACACAACGTATCTCGATAGAGCAGTTCGCAGTACTTCAAGGTCGGGTTTGCATGGACACGCATGTAAATGAATGGGGACTGGATAGGGCAGTGTAACAGGCTAACAAAGAACGCAAGGAGTCTTTCAAGGGTCTTATAGGCCTTTTAAAGCTGCTGAACAAAGACAGTAACAGTAACAGTACCACCAACAGCAGCAGCACCAACATCAGCACCACCAAACACACAAACACACACATCAGTATCAGCATCAAAAGTATCATCATTACCGTCATCATCAGTGATAATAGCAAACACTACAATAACTAAATTAAATGATAGTTTATGAATTTATTCATCGTCATTCAGAAATTTGCAATCCAAACTTTTCAATTATATAAGAATAGATTTATTATTAAATATCTATCGAATATTATTATTATCATTATTATCATCATCATCATCATCATCATTATTATTATTAATGTTATTATGCTCGTATTAATCGCTCCTTCTATTTATTACGCGATCAAAGAGAATAAATAATAATTGATGTCGTTTTGATCTTGACGAATTGTTTATCTCCTTTTTTTTTTTTTTTTTTTTTTTTTTAATAAAAAAGAAACAAAAGAAATAAGAGAAAGGAAACGTGAGAATCTATAGGGCGTTTAACTGTCAATCAAAATTTTCACGGGTAATCACGATACGACACTCTTACGATTACCTTATCAAGCCTACAGAAATTCAGA